ACGAATCCTTTCACTATGGATGCCTGGGGCGTCACAAATTTCACCCTTGAACATACTCATGAAAAGTCTACCCATGTCTCGGCAACAACAAATGTGTTGTCACTTTTGCACACTGTTCTTTATGTACCATCAAAAACTGAATAACAAACTATTAAAATCCTCACCACACATCAGACTACTATGCATGCAAGTATTCACTAACTATAAATACCAATGTAATCAGCTAATATACTGTTAATGAAAAGTTAGAGAAATTCCAAAATCTGCTATTGTATTCTTCTCTGTTTTGCCACCTGCCCATTTCCTCTGGAAGAACTTTCATAACTTCTTGAGAATTAAGTAACAGATCAATGAAGCCTTTACACATAAAACTGGTCATGAAGGTGATATGTCTAAGGCTTTGTTTGGGACGGTTTTTTTACTGCTTTCTAAAATAAAGTTTTAGTAAAAAATAAAAAAAATTGTACTAAAACTCCGTTTTAGAAAGCAGTAAAAAAGTAGTCCCAAACGAAGCCTAAGTGCATGTGACCAAAATAAAATACTTAGAGATCTTCTCTTATGAGCCAAGCAGGTGTCTTCAAACGTACGTGAAGGTTCACAAGTTGATTTCGCCTTTGTCTAAAAATCATGCATGCCCTTTATTTCTACTGCAGCTTCCTCATGTTGACAAATCAACCACGAAGAAGTTCAGAAAATACCTCCCATGCATTTTCTTCTCCTTCCCTGCGTCGACTGTGATTGGCCATAAGCATAGATTTATGATGCACTTCTCTGCGTCTTTTTTTTTTCTTGAACTCTTAGCCTCCCAAACCAAACAAAAATACGACTACTGCAACGTTATTTTTGAGTTATCTCGGCGGTTATAACCGTCAATATTTACTTTCGCTGTAATTGCTACGTGCTGCAACAACATTTCACAACAATTTTTGAACCAGGGGGATAGATTCGACGAAGCTTTAGATTTAGCAGCGGCTATAACCGGTGCAAGCCAAATCTAGAGATTTGCACCGGTCATAACCGCCACTAATATCATCAAAATAAACTGATTTCAAGGAATGTGCTTTCTGGTTATACTAGCGGTTAAAACCGGTATAAAAGAATTGGTTTCGAGTTATACCAGCAGTTAAAATTGATGATATTTATATATCAACGGCCAAAATCGCTACCAAAAGAACGTTTTGACGACAGTTTTCAAACCGCCCCCAACAACTGCTTTGAAAAATTATATTTTTTTAGTAGTGTATAAGCCTATAATGCTAATATAACTACAACAAGAAACTCTTTAATTTAGAAATATATTCATCTTGACCATTTTACAATGAGCACTATATATATTTGAACAGACCTCTATTAATAATATATAAAAGAGCTAGATAGATTTTATATTAAGCAATGTGGAAGACTTGACTTGTAAATAGCTTCAGAAATCAAGTTTCCAACACATGGACTGGCTGTGTAGAAGATAAAATTTCTAATTAATTGTTTGTCTCTCCATTAGAAGAGATTATTAATTAGCATTCTGTCACTCTCATGATCAGATATGTGGAAAAACTACAAAGTGCAATTAATATTCATCTCTATCTTTGAATGAAATTTAGAAAAGTCTTCCCTATTAAAAAAAAGATCGAGCATGTACTTACTTGAACGAAATGGTTCAAAATATTTTAAAGAAAATTAAAATGAAAAGACATCGTATCAAATAATAATTCATCTTCAACCGAATTTCATTTCTCACACCGAAAAAAAAATATTTTGCATCTATTTTTTCTCATCTCTGTTTCATGTTTATGAAGGATAGCGTGGGAATGACGTTCAATTATCGTTTTGGTGATAGTGTGATGTCAATATTGTCGTCTCATTGTTCACAACCGTCAACCGAGATAAAACACAAAAATGTGATTTTAGGTGGCAAAATCAAAATGGGGGAGACCGTCATATTAGATTTAGGATTCGTTTGGGACGGCTTTATTAATGCTTCTTAAAATAACTTTTAATATGAAATTTTTAATTTTTGTATTAAAAAATTGCTTTAAGAAGAAGCAAGAAAACTGTCCCAAAAGAAACTTTAATGTGCTGAGAATAGTATTTGCTCATGCGAGGAATTTGGCTTACCATCTAGACTTTGAATGCTTCCTTCCTAGACCCTTTCCAAACGCCTCATGACTGAATAAAAATCAAACCTTTCTCTAAAAGCTTCCTTCCTCCTATATACAGATATATAAACGATCCTCCCAATTCATTACAGAAGCAAAGAAATTCATTAATCAAACATAATGGCAGCAATTTCCTTCGTCCTCCTCCCCCTCGCCTTCCTCACCCTCCTAACCCCTCACAAAGCCGCCACCTTCACCATCGTCAACAATTGCTCAGACACACTCTGGCCGGCTGCAGTGCCGTACGGCGGCGGCATCCATCTCAACAGCGGCCAAACATGGACCTTCGAAGTCCCATCCGGGACCACCGTTGGCCGCGTGTGGGCCCGCACCGGCTGCTCCTTCGACGACTCCGGCAACGGCCATTGCGAAACCGGCGACTGCGGCGGAAAACTCTCCTGCGCCGCCTACGGCTCGCCGCCGAACACATTAGCAGAGTTCGCCCTCAACGAGTTCTCCAATCTCGACTTGTTCGATATCTCCCTGGTCGACGGGTACAACGTGGGGATTAATTTCAGCCCGGCGACGGCGAGCGGGTCCTGCCAAGGACAACAATGCGCGGCGGATTTTGTTAGGCAGTGCCCGGCGGCGCTGAAGGCTCCTGGAGGATGTAATAATCCCTGTACTGTTTTTAAGACGGATGAGTATTGCTGCTACTCCGGCAGCTGTGTGCCGACCGACTACTCGAGGTTCTTCAAGAACCTTTGCCCTGACGCCTACAGCTTTCCCAAGGATGATCAGACTGACACCTACTCTTGCCCCGCCGGCACCGACTACAGAGTCACCTTCTGCCCCTAAAATGCACGCAAATCTTTCTTGATTCGTGTCATAGTCCAGCTTAGAAATTATTCTGTGCGGAGTTCGGATTAGAAGAATCATCAAGAACATGATCATTCGGACATATGAGTGTGTACATAATATACACAATATGTGTACATAGATGTACATATATTATGTATATTGTGTGTGTACACTCATATGTCGAGATGATTCTTCTTATTTGGACTCCGCATAAAATAATTTCTCTATTCTAGCAGACACAAGAAGACTGATTTTTTACCTAAATCTTTTTGTCAAAAAGCTATTTAAAAATCAATAAGAAAGCAGTTCCAAAGGAAGCCATAATATATGGTGTTCATGTTTGATTTGTTGGCTATCATTGTATATTATGATAGCTTACACATGTATAGCTTATGTTATGTAATAAGGGCACTTTGAGTATTTTATCTTTTAGGTATTTTTAAAAGTATGATTTAAAGAGTTTTTAGTTTATAATATATATAAGCCTTAAGTTCTAAATTAAATATTGTATAATAATACTATATGATTATTGATCATACAATCCGATCAATTTCAATCAAAAAATGAACTGAAAATCATACTATATGATCTGCATCATGCAGTATAATTCATATGTATATTTCATTAAATCAAATATTACTTGATTGATATATAGAATATTTATTTATATTAATCCCATATCATACTATCCAATCTTATAAATTAAATAGAATCAAATAATATTTGATTTTCACCCTCATTCTAATTATAAAATAAAACATATTGTAGTCTCAAACAAATATCTTATATTATAAAGAAAACATAGGATAATAAAATGTTCAAATACAATAT